GGCCACTGCGCTGGCCCTGTTGGCCTGGGCCACACCTCTGATGCCCGGCAGCGTCCCTGAGGCCTCTCCCGGTGTCCCCAAGACCCTCGGCGGTGTCCCCAAGGCTCCTGCTGCCTTCCGGAGGGTCCTGGCGCTGGCCTGGTCTGAGTGGAAAGTCCTTGGAGCCGCCTTCCTTTGCCTCATGCTGGCGGCCACTGGTGGGTGACGGTGCGGGGAGGGTGAGGGCACGCGGGGACGGCCACTGACCCCCCATTCATTGAGCCTTGCAGCCCCGAACTGGGGGCTGACTCCCCCCAGACTGGGCAGGGACCACCCCAAAGTTGGGTGTGGAGCCCCTAAATTTGATGTTGAACGCCCAGATTTGGAGCTGACTCCCTAAATTGAGTGGTGACCACTCCAAACTTGGGTGTTGAACCTCCAAACTGGGAGCCGACCCCCCCGAAATTGGGAGCTGATCCCCCAAATTGGGTGCTCACCACCCCAAAATTGGGAGCTGGCCCTCCAGAATTGGATCCTGGACCTCCAAACTTGGCTCTTCATTGCCCTAAATTGGCTGCTGAGCCCTATGACTGGGTGCTGACCATCCCAAAATTGGGTGCTGAGCCCCTACACTGGGAGCTGACCACCCAAAAATTGGGTGGTGACACCCCCATAATTGGGTGCTGACTACCCAAAAATTGGGTCCTGACCAATCAAACTTGGGTGTTAACCCCCACAAAGTTGGGTGTTGACCCTCAAACTTAGGGTCTGATGCCCAAAAATGGGTGTTGACCCCCAAGAAATTGGGTCCTGACCCCTAAAATTGGATGCTGAACCCCCAAAATTAGGTGTCAAACCCTGAAATTTGGTCTCAAATCCCTGCACTGGGCGCTGACACCACAAAATTGAGTCCTGACCCCTTGAAATTGTCTCCTGCCGCCACCAAATCACATCTTGTCCCCTCAATCGAGTCCTTCCCCCACAATCGGGTCCCCCCATGCCAGCGGTGGTGCCGCGGTGACATGGTCCTGGTGACACCCAGGGGAGACGGCGGGGCCGTACGTCACCGGGAAGGTGCTGGACGCCATCAGGAACAGGGACGGACTCACCGCTGGAGCTGTTGGGATGGTGGTGGCCACCGAAGCAGCCAGGTGGGTCATGGCATTCCCAGTGTCCACGCCCGTGTCCCCATGTCCCCAACGTCCCCAATGTCACTGTGTCCCCCCAGTGTCCTGTTCTCTGGGTGCCGTGGGTGGCTCTTCCTGCTGGTGGCAGCGCGTCTCCGGCAGAGCCTGCGCTTCCAGCTCTTCTCCCACCTGGTGCACCAGGACCTGGATTTCTTCCAGGGAATGCCGGCAGGTAATGGGACATGGCCCAGACCTGTCCCATCCCACCATCCCATGACTCCAGTCCCCATCCCACTATTACATCCTTTCCCTATCATCCTGTTATCCTATTTCCCATCCCATTCTACCCCACCCATCCATTATCCCATCCCACCATCCCACCCCCCTCATTCCCATTCTTACTATCCCATCCTTTTCTATCCTATCCCGTTTTCCCGGTCTCATTGTACTATCCTCTCCGAATCCCACTATCCTATCCCACTGCCCTGTCCTTATTCTCATTCCCATCCCACCATCCCATCCCCACTGTCCCATCCCTATCAGTCCATTCCCACCATTCCCATTGCCACCATCCCCTTTCCCATCATCCTGTCCTCCCAGTCCCCATCCCATCTTGTCCCCCCCATTATCCCATTTTGCTATCCCATTCCATATCCTGACCTTCATCCTATCATCCCATCCCACCATCTCCATTCCTGCCATCCCATCCCAACTGTCCGATCCTGCCCTGCCATTCCCATCCCATGTCCTCCCCCCCTGATCCCAACCTCCTTTCCTGCCCCGCAGCCGAGCTCTCAGCGCGGTTTTCCACGGAGGTGCCGCTGGTGTCCATGGCGGTGCCGAGGGGAACCAACCTGCTGCTCCGCAGCCTGGGAATGGCACTGGTGGTGGGGATGGCCATGGTGTGGCTGGCACCGGGGCTGGCACTGCTGGCACTGCTGGAGCTGCCCCTCGGAATCACCACCCGCCGCATCCACAGTGCCCGGAAACAGGTTGGGAATATGGGAGGGGAGGAGAGGTGGAAAGGGGACACAGAGGTGGGATAATGGAGTGGGAATGGTGGGGGTGGGATGGAGAGCAGGGGAATGGGATGGTGGGGATGGGAATGGTGGGGATGGGAATGGTGGGATGGGATGGGATGGGATGGGATGGGATGGGATGGGATGGGATGGGATGGGATGGGATGGGATGGGATGGGATGGGATGGGATGGAAACCGGGTGTACAGGATGGGATGATATGATGGCAATGCTGGGGATGGGGCAGGATGGAGTGATGGAGATGGGATGGAATGGGATGTGATGGGTTAGTGAAGATGGGATGGAGAGCAGGGTCATGTGACAGGGGATGAGTTAGGATGGGATGGGGACAGGATGGAATGGTGGGATGGGGACAGAGGCATGGGGTGGAATAGAATGAGATGGTGGGATAGGGTGTATATCAGGGGATGGGCCAGTGGGGATAGGATGAGGATAACAGGGAAGAGACTGCACAGAATTGGTGGATTTGGGAGTGGTGGGATGAGGCTATGGAGATGGGACAGAATGGTGGGATGGGATGGGGATGGTGGGTACGGGAATGCTGGGATGAGGACCAGGGTGATGGGATGATGGGATGGGATCAGGTGGGATGGAGACAGGATGGGACAGTGGGGACAGGACAGTGAGATGAGAAAAGAGATGGGATAGGAATGGATGGAATGGGGGGATGGGATGGTGGAATGTGTACTGGGGGGGACTGGATGGTGGGATCGGGATGGTGTAGAAGAGACGGGATGGCACAGCTGGGATAGGAATGATGGGAACAAGATGGGATGGGGATGGGACGGGATGGGATGGGACAGGATGGAACAGGATGGGATGGTTAGATGGAGACCAGAGAGATGGGAGTGGGGAAGGTGACCAGAGGAATGGGATGTTGAGAATGTGAATGGGGGGGATGGGATGGGAGAGTGAGAATGGGGACTGTGGGATGGGGGCTGAGAGATAGGATGAGATAGCAGGATGGGAAGTGGGAAGGATGGCATGATGGCATGGGAATGGTGGGGATAGAAGGGAGACCACGGGTGCAAGATGGTGGGAATGGAATTGTGAGTTTGCGATGGGTGTGATGGGAATTCTGGGGATGGGATGTGGATGGTGGGCCAGGAGAGTAGTCTGGGAAAGCTGGGCACCCCCCATGCCTCCACAGGCGCTGCAGCGATCCATGCTGGAAGCATCCGCCCGGACGGCCTCAGAGGTGCAGGAATCCATCGCCGCCATTGAGACGATCCAGATCTTCTCAGCAGAGGAGGAGGAGGAGGAGCGGCACAGCCAGAACCTGGACAAGGAGCTGAGGCTGAAGGAGCGGATGGAGTTGGAGCTGGCAGGATTCACCCTCATCCATAGGGTCAGGGGGGCTGGGAATGGGAATAGCAACACCAGGAATGGGGACAATGGGATCAGGGATGAGGACACTGGGATGGGGGCACTGGGAGCAGGATGGGGACACCCAGGAAAGGGGACACCAGGAGCTGGGATGGGGACAGCAGGAATGGGAGTGGGAAGACCAGAATAGGGACACTGGGATCGGGAAAGGGGACACCAGGAGCTGGGATGGGGACAGCAGGAATGGGAGTGGGAAGACCAGAATAGGGACACTGGGATCAGGGATGGGGACACCAGGAATGGGAATGCCAACACCTGCAGGATGGGGTCTCCAGGACAAGGGATGTGAACACCAGAATCAGGAATGGGGACACCAGTAAAGGAAGTGGGGAGACTGGGACAGGGATACCAAGACCAGTTATGGAGACACTGGGAATGGGGACACCAGGACGAGGTTGGGGGCACCGGGACTGGGATGAGGACACCAGGGACAGGATGGGGACACCAGGTGCGGGAATGGGGACACCAGTATCCCTGTTCCCACCTACAGGTCCTCCGACTGGCCATCCGGGTCCTGGTGCTCTTCCGGAGCCACCAGCAGCTCCGTGATGGATCCATCACTCCTGGGGTCCTCGTCACCTTCCTGCTGTACCGGGACACGGTTGGCAGCCATGTCCAGGTGATCCCATGGAATCCATGTGTCCATCCATCCATCCCCGTTTCCATCCATCCTGGTGCCACCCCCTCCCCTTCCCCAGGTGCTGCTCATCGGCTTCAATGAATTCATGACCAACATGGCTGCTGGGCAGAAAATCTGGGAATACCTGGATCAGGAACCCACGAGGGACACTGGGGGGACACTGGAGCCTTCCAAGCTCCGGGGCGACATCACCTTCCAGAGGGTCTGCTTCACATATCCCGGGAATCCAGAGCGCCCTGTGCTGAAGGTGGGTCTGAGGGGAATGGGGATTCCCAGGCGTGGGAATTCCGATGTCATTCTGCAGGATGTGTCCTTCGAGGCAGATCCAGGGGAGGTTGTGCATTCCCAGGGATGGGATGGTGTCATCCTCTCCGTCTTGCAGGATATGTCCTTCAAGGCATATCCTGGGTAGGTGTGGATTCCCAGGGATGGGAATTCCAGCATCACCTGTCTCCATCCTGCAGGACGTGTCCTTCGAGGTGCGTTCCGGGGAGGTGACGGCACTGGCAGGGCCCAATGGGAGCGGAAAGAGCACAGCCGTGGCACTGCTGGAGCGGCTGCGGGATCCTGGGAGCGGGAAGGTGCTGCTGGATGGGATCCCACTGCAGGAATATGAACACCAGTACCTACACCGGCAGGTGGAGAAAGCAGGGAGACTGGGAAAACCAGGAACAGGATGGAGACAATGGGACAGGCATGGGGGCTGAAATGGAATTGGGACCTGGGAGACAGGGGTGGGGGCATTGGGAAAAGGGATGGGTACACCAGCGACAGGATGGAGACACTGAGGTGGGATGGGGACAGTGGCAAATGGGATAGGGACACTGGGTACAGGGATGAGGACAGTAGGAAAAAGGATGGGGACACCAGGCATAGGAATGGGGACAGTGGGAAATGGGATGGGAACATCAAGGATGGGGTTGGGGATAGTTGGATTAGGGAGGGAGACCATGGGGACAGTGATGGGGACACCAAGACTGGGATCGGACCATGGAACAGGGATGGGGACACCGGGAGCTGAGACGGCTCACAGGCTCGGGGCCGGGGCAGGTGGTGCTGGTGGAGCAGGATCCTCTCCTGTTTTCCGGAACGATCCGTGAGAACGTTGTGCTGGGGCTGGAGTGCTGTGAGGAGTCGGAGCTGCAGGAGGCGGCCACTGCTGCCGGAGCCATGGAGTTCATCCAGGGGCTGGAACAAGGCTGGGACACCGGTGAGAGCTGGGGGGTCCTGGAGGAATCCTGGGGCCAGGGACTTCATCTCGGGGTTGGAGTGGGACTGGGACACTGGTGAGAACCGGGGGGAGCTCCCAGGGGAATCCTGGACCCAGGGGCTTCATCCCAGAGTTGGAGTGGGAGTGGGACACCGGGGAGAGCTGGGAGCATGGGGGCACCCCTGAAATGGATCCTGCTGGTTTTGGGATACTCTGGCAGAGGTGGCTGAGGCCGGGGGCGATTGGCAGGGGGATGTGGGAGACCCCAGGGGCTGGATCCCACTGATCCCATGGGATCCCCCGCAGAGGTTGGGGAGCTCGGGGGGCGGTTGGCGGCGGGGGAGCGGCGTCGCCTGGCCCTGGCCCGGGCCCTGCTCCGGCGTCCGACTGTCCTAATTCTCGATGAGGTGCTGGATGATGGAGACGAGGGGGCGGTGAGTGGGGTGGGATGAGGGGGATTGGGTGGGACTGAGGTGAGATGGACAATGGAGGGATGGGATGGCTGAGATGGGACTGGGGGGAGGGGATGGTAGGAATATGAGGTAGTGGGATGGTGGTGGGAATGATGAGATGAAGACAAAGGAATTGGATGGGATGGGGTAGGTCAACAATGTAGGGAGTGGGAAGGTGAGAAGAGGCTGGGGAAATGGGACAAGATGGTGGGATGGGAGTGGTGAGGATGGGATAAAAGCCAGGTGGATGGGATGGTAGCAAGTTGAGATGAATGGATGAAGATAAAGAGATGTGATGGGGCTGGATGGGATGGTGTAGGAATGGTGGAGTTGGGAATGTGGCAATGAGGACAGAGAGATGGAATTGGATGGGATGGAGGGGTTGCGGTGGTGGGAATGGGGTGGGATGGGACAGTGTGGATGGGGACAGTGGGGAGAGGACAGGAAAGTTGGAGTGGAGATGTGGGTGGTGAAGGGGTGGGGTGGGATGGGTTGGTTGGGGTGGGATGGGATGGGATTGGGTGGGGCAGGGTTGGATGGGATGGGATCAGGGTTCTCTGGCCCCAGGCGCAGCGCTGGGTGCGCACTGGGCTCGCCCGGACCGTGCTGGTCGTCTCCCACCGGCCGCGGGTGCTGGAAGCGGCCGATCGCCTCGTGGTGCTGGAGCGCGGGGCCGTGGCAGAGGCAGGAACACCGACGGAGCTGCGGGAACGCCACGGGGCCTACAGCCGCCTGCTCCAGGGTGGAGGTGGGACCGGGCGGCCCGACGCCACGGGAGAGGGAGGCAGGGAATAAAGGGAAATTGGTGTCCCCATTCCTGGTGTTTGTGTCCCATCCCTGTTTCTAGTGTCCCCAGCCCCTGTGTCCTGCAGGTCCCTCATCCCCCCATCCCCTGGATCCCCACTCCCTGTGTCCTTTTGATTCTTCTCCCCATTCCACCAGGGATGGGAAGTGTGGGGGGGGTATAGCGAGGGGCTTAATTTCCAGCTGGGCTTAAAACCACAACAGTGGGGACATGAGGGACACGTGGTGGGCAGGGACACAGGGAACACAAGGACCAAAGTAAAACTTGTATGTTTAAGACAGTTTAATAATTGTAAATAAAGTAAAATGCAATAATAATGGTAAATGATAATAATAATGGTAATAAAAAAGAGAAAACAAAGTGATACACAGTACAATTGCTCACCACCTGCAGACTGATGCCAGACCCCTTTGCCCACACCCAGATAGGCCCCTTCCAGATACCTGCCCCCAGTTTGTATCCTGAGCATAATAATCCATGGTGTGGAATATCCCCTTGCTCAGTTCGGGTCCCCTGACCCAGCTGTGCTCCCTCTCAATTTCTTTTGTGAATCTCGTCAGTGGCAGAGCAGGAGACAAGGAAAAAAGAGTCCTTGACTCAGGATAAACACGACTTAGAAAAAAACCCAAACCATTGGTGTGTTATCAGCACCATTCTCATTCTGAATCCAAAACATAGCACTGGTGGGATGTCAGAGAAGGGAGTGGAGGAGTGCAGGATAAGGGGGTGCAGGAGGGTGCCACTGTTGAGGAATGGGGAGTTCAGGGGGGTCCTGGTACTGAGTGTCTTAGGTTAAAGACAATGTGTGCTAGGAGGCGGGACCTCTGAGGGAATAAAAACCCCTCCCTCCCAGACTTCTTGTAAATATGAGACCTACAAGCAAGGCGTAGAAACAAAATGACAGTTTACTAAAAAGAGGGAACAAAACAGAACAAAAGCAACACCCACACAATAACAGAGAAAAATGTCACCCACTTTTATTCTTCCCAGTTCTCACACAGTTTGTGCAGCACCGACTCCTCACAGCCGCCCTGCTTGGTGTGGCTACAACTGCACCGAAAGGGAACGTGCTACTCAGCTGGTTGAAAGCTTCTCTTACAGTGTTGTTCTTTGTTTAGTATATATTTATTTATATTTATATATTTAGTAAAGAACCTACATTTTTGCCTGAAAACCTCTTAATTTTAAAGCTATAATACTTTGGAGGAGGGGGTCTTCTTTCTATTCCAGGAAGGTTCCTGCCTTCTTTGACTGACATTTGTCTTTAAACCAAAACAAAATTTTGGTGCCCAAGTGAGGCATCGAGAGAAAAGTTGGAAAAAGAATAACAGTTCTTGGGTAATCCATTTCTGTATTGGATATAGAACCCCGTAGGCATCATGCTATTCAATTTTTTGTTTTTCTGATACCTATTCATGCAGAAGCATATGGGTTCATAGGCAGGTTTTTTGACCTGGGTCCTCAAACCAAGACAGCTGTGGCTATTGTTGATTTCCTACATTGGATTCATGACACTGTGAATTCAACGCTGTAGGTCTCGTGGAATGTATTTTCAAGGTTGTCTTCCTGCCCTTGCCTAACCTATTACCTCTGGGGGTTAGTGATAATTGGCATCAAGCCTTGGGGAGAAATGCAGGGGAGGTTTTTTTCCCAATTCTTCACCCATTTCCTATTCAGGTCTGCTACAACAGCTTTGGGGAAGTTTAAATTCCCTCTAGATGCCAGAGATACCTTTCTCTTTGTGCTTTGTCTGCAAGCTTGTGTCATTATGGCCTATCTTATTTACGAAGCTAGGGAAGGATCCTTCGAGAACATGTTCCACCCCAGGGGCAGAAAACTTTGAGTGGCCCAGGTTGTGGGAGGACATGGGTAAGTTCTTGGAAAATTGTTCTGCTCCAATGCCATGGAAGTTCACCCTTGAACAACTCCAGGATCCCACAAAAGTAATGAGATCTGTGAGGGAGAGATGCCGTGGTAGTTGCATGCGAGGCTTTGGCCACTGCCTACCAAAATCTGCTTGGTCTGGTGCAGCACCTCCAGGGGGAAGAGAGTAAAACACCTGGCACCATGGTGACTCAGGATGTAGCTAAACTAGGAGAACAGTCCAGGCCAATAGAAGTTGCCCCTATCCAAAAAAAGGAAATATAAGACCAAATCAGTTCGTCCGGTGGACGATGATGAGGAGGCAGCACCCTCACAGATAGCAGACCCACAGCCAGAGAGCATCACTGAGTCCCTGTCCTTTGACAACCTCTGCAGTCTGCAGAAAGATGTTAACACCCGAGTGAGCCCATTTTCACCTGGTTGGTCCGAGTTTGGGTCCTTATGGATGAAGGCTTGCAACGTGATGGCACCGAAACGAGGTTTTTGGGATCTCTGGTCCAGGATGTGGGCATTGAGCAGGTGTTTCTGAGGGAATCAAAATCCCTTTCTCTCTGCGCACAGCTTCTAACAAGTGTGAGAGAGAAGTTTGCTTATAGGGACAGCCTGCAGGAGCATCATCATAAAGTGGCCTGTAAGACCATGGAGGAAGGGATCCTATGCCTGAGGGAAATGGCACTGTTAGAGGTACTTTTTGGAAGGGACAGGCAACCCAATAGCAACCCCAACCGGGTCAGGTGCACGTCACAGATGTGGTGGAGCCTTTCACGCCAGGGGCCATCCAGTCTCCTGGTGTCTACATATTCTGAGGGAAACTGAGAGACAGTGGGCTCTGTAACAAACTCAGAATGTACGGTGGCATGGTCCATACCCCACTACAGGCCCTTATTTCTACTGCAGGGACATTGGTTGAGAGTCTTGAGGCACTAAATGCAGAGGCAAAAGATGAACAGAAAAATCTCAGAGGAGAGATTAAGGAGAACAGTTTCCATGTGGCAGCAGTGTGAACCAGAGCCTCCGAGGTCAGAGCCAGATGACCTCCAGCTAGAGAAAGGGGACAGACCCCATGAACTGAGCTGTGGTCCTTCCTACTTGACCATGGGGAAGACAAGAGACAGTGGGACAGGAAACCTACCCGTGCCCTGGCAGGGCGAGGACAAGAACTGAAGGAGAGAGAAAAAAGGAAGTCAGTGAGAGTAAGTGCAGTGCAGGTTTTCCATGGGCAAGGATCTGACCCGCCAGAAGGTACCTCCCATGTGTATTCACAGGATGTGAAAGAGCTGTGATGGCCATAACCAAGACCAGTGTTAGAGGGGCCCTGCCTCTAGCCAGGTAGAGGCACGGGACAACCGTGTCTATTGGACTGTGTGGATCCGATGGCCTGGCACATCAGACCCACAAGAACACAAGGCGCTGGCTGACACTGGTGCTCAGTGTACGTTAACGCCATCAGGACAGGTAGGACCAGAGACTATTTCCATTTCTGGGGTGACAGGAGTGTCTAAAGACAATGCTGGAAGCTGAAGTGAGCTTGATCGTGAGGGACTGGCAGAAACACCCCCTTGTAACTGGCCCAGATGCCCCATTATCCTAGGCATTGGCTACCTCTGGAATGGGTACTTCAAAGACTCAAAAGGACATTGATGGGCCTTTGGAATTGCTGCTGTGGAAATAGAAGGGATTAAGCAAATGAACACATTGCCTGGACTGTCACAAAATCCTTCTGCTGGGAGACTCTTGAAGGTAGACGAACAGCAGGTGCCAGTTGCCACCTCAACAGTGCATTGCTGCCAGTACTGAACCAGTCGACACTCGGTGATCCCCATCCACAAGAGGATCCCGGAACTGGAGAGCTGAGGAGTGGTCAGCAAGACCCACTCACTCTTCAACAGCCCCATTTAGCCTGTGGGTAAGTCTGGTGGAGAATGGAGACTGACTGGACTATTGTGACTTGAATGAAGTCACCCCACTGTTGGGTGCTGCTGTGCTGGACATGCTGGAGCTTCCACACAAACTGGAGTCCAAAGCAGCTGAGTGGTGTCACCACTGACATTGCAAACATGTTTTTCTCCATTCCTTTGGCAGCAGAGTGCTGGCCACAGTTTGCTTTCACTAGGAGGGGTGTACAGTACCCCTAGAATTGACTGCTTCAGGAGTGGAAACAAAGCCCCAGCATCGGCCATGGACTGATCCGGGCCGCACTAGAGAAGGGTGACGCTCCAGAACACCAGCAGTACCTCGATGACATCATCATACAGGGGAACATGGCAGCAGAAGTCTTTAGGAAAGGAGCCCCTGTGATGCCCTGGTGACCCCTGGGCCATCCTCACTGACATCCTGGACCCCACGTTTTGGAGCCCTGGGTGGGTTTGGGGGTACCCTGGGGGCATTGCCCCCCAGATCTCCCAATTGCCCCCCAGTGGGCCAGCGCATCAATTATTTGACCCCATAAAACCTCCCAGTTTCCCACACTAGACATCCCAGTTGTCCATCCAGACCTCCCAGTTGCCTTCCAGTGGGCCACTACACACCCCAGTTCACAGAATCACGAGATCACTGAGGTTGGAAAATCCATCCAAGACCATCGAGTCCCACCTTGTGATCAACATCCCCCTTGTCACCAAGTGCCACATCCAGTTCCTTGAACACCTCCAGGGATGGAGACTCCACCACCTCCCTGGGCAGCCCCTTCCAATGCCTGACAATGCTTTCCATGGAAGTTTCTCCTGACATCCAACCTGACCCTCCCCTGGCACAGCTTGAGGTCATTCCCTCTCCTCCTGTCCCTTGTTCCCTGGGAGCAGAGCCCAACTGCCCCTGGCTCCCCCCTCCTGTCAGGGAGTTGCAGAGCCAGAAGGTCCCCCCTGAGCCTCCTTTTCTCCAGGCTGAGCCGGCCCAGCTCCCTCAGCTGCTCCTGCTGCTCCAGCCCCTTCTCCAGCCCTGTTCCCAGCTCTGGACACGCTCCAGCCCTTCAGATTTCAGGTGCCCCTCACCTGTGTCAGGCACAGGGGTTCGGGCATTCCCCTGGGCCTGCGCCCACCCTGGGGGCTGGTACAGGCCACACAAGGAGGGAGGAGGGTGGGCAATGTGCTGCAGGGGGTTTAATGAACCCTGGGCCCCTCCCCTGTGTTCAGAACCAGCTTGGAGAGGGGGAGGGGCAGCGTCATGACCCTTCCCTCT